ATAGTGACGAAGGTTTTTATTCTTTAGTAAATTGTTTTTCACAGATTTACAATTTTCGACAAACAGGGTGAACAAACCTTGAAAAATAGGTTCACCAATTTACTTTGCATAGTCAGAACATATCTTTATAATGCTTCGCTATATGAATGTAGCCAATTCATGAACAACTGTTTTTAATCAGTCCACCAGTAATGATTCTACGAAATCACAATATGACTTCTTCATAGCATATTTACGAGCGAATTCTTGGATTGCCCGCCGACGCCTCGATGAAACAAGTTGATAACTGCAATAATAGAGAGCGAGGTCACTGAAGTCCCAAACGTTATTCATGCAATAATAAATATGCTAACAGTATGTTTAGTAATATAAACGAAAATATGATTGAAATTTCATAACAAATCATTCAGCAGAAACTATCGACACAAAATAAAATATTAGAGTCAATAAACTAAGCAAAATATCTACAAACCAACAGAATTTGTATTTTCAAAGGGTAACGATACTCTGCAAAATTTTCAATCACAAGCACATGTTTTCAATATGGTTATTACAGACTTCATCTATGCAAAAATTTGATAACCGTAAAAATTAAATTGACGAAAAGCTCACTTTTCCAATTCAACAGTCCTTCGTCTTGCTATACTTATAATAGTATGTCTCAGAAGAACTGGCAAGACGCTACTGGAAACAACACAACCATCAATCAGAGGGCCCGGCAAGCCACATCTGAAATTAAAGATTTGGTGATACTGATCATTCATTAATTAGGTGAAAAATGTGACGCTATCAGTCGAAAAAATGTTCCGAGAAAACTCGAACTTGTGTTCCCCACTCATCTCTGACGTGAAATACAGAGTACGAGATTCAAACATCTAATAATCTACACTTACTTTGTCCAATCTCCCAAAACACTAATTCGAAATAGTTCGTTCTCAACTTCGGAAATGAAAATCACGACTAGATCAGGTCTTGTATTCATTCCACTACAGCATAATGAGTTATCCATTGTTACAGGAAACATTTCTTCTGTAAAAAAAAGGTTGAACTATCAGAGAATAAACGCACGAAAATAATGACGCCTAGATGTCGAAAACCAGAAAAAATCTCATACCATAGGGAAAGTGATGCATATCTTCAATCCTTTCTAAAAAGACAACAAATATGCGCTGATCTGAATTGCGTTTTACAAATGCTATCCTTTCTGAGTTATTTTCTGGAAAATCAAAAGGCAAACTCGCATTACAATATTCATTAAGTCTCTAGCAAAATATTTCCTCGAACAGAAATAAAAAACGGTCATTCACTCCATAATTGTTAATGGAGACAGTTTTTCTCAACTAATTTCAACGACACATACAAACTTTGTTTCATTCTTGAAATATTAAGGCACCTTTGATTTCAATTCCTGAATCCACACCTGAATGACTTCTTGCATGCAATGTTGGAAGCACATCAGTAGGTAACTTACTTGACCTCCCACTACTGCTACCACTGGCACGTCCAGCTGATCGTTCCTCACTAGATGATTGACTCAGTAGCCTACCTCCTACAAAAATTCTCTCAGTAGCATAGCTACGCAAATTTCAACAATGATTATTGATCAAATTATAAATAAATACCAAAATCATGTTGCAAAGTTCTGGTGGTAATGTGCTCTAGATCATTATGAGTTTCAGAGCTGATAGCAAACGGTAAATTATTGCCACATTCAGCACTACGATCTGAATCTGAAACACTAAACGATGGTTGTTTGCGATTACGTTCTGTAGGTGTTGTGAACGCTATTTCGATATGTGGATCAGTCCACCATAAACAATGAGTTAAGCCATCAATGACATAATGATCCAAATCTTCTTCTTTTTTTAGCTCTAAAATAATAATGTCACGATCCGAATTTACGAGATAATTAGTCCTATCATAAGGAAATCCACTGTAAAATTGAATAATCAGATTATTTTTCAGATTTGTAATATTGCCTAACTTCAAATTCATTTGCAGCATTCAATTTTAACACTATTTAAATAGATAACGAACAGATCAATTTTTTATCACTAAGAAAAACAAATGTTCATATTTTCAATCGACCACCAGCTAAAATGATTTTTTTGCAACAACATCAGGAAGAACTTAAAGTTAGTCAACTACTAGAATTTTTTTCATGAAATATTAACTGCGTTCAGCACAGAAAGCGGTAGCCCAGTCTCCAGTCCAATGAGGATGTGCATTTATTTCAACACCTTGTCCTAATTCTGCTAATAAAGCACAAAACTGGCTGCTAGTATTCTGAAGATCCATCTGAAAAAAATAAAGTTCACTGTCAACACTACTTTTTCCACGTACATTAATTTCATGTCTGTACATACTACACTATAATAATATACTAGTTTTTAAACTCTTAATTTTATATTAAGATTTACACATATCCAAAACATCACCGCATTGGCTAAAATATCTAGAGCACTGCGTTGACCGTCACGAACATAAAATAAACGAACACTCTGCAGCATTTTCGTCGGTGAACGATCTATCACTTGATGCAAATCATTATAAAACTGAGAGCTGCAATTCCAACTTCAAAGACAGTATTTACTTTACACTCATTGCAATTTTCTGTGAGAACAATGGTTACTGATTATGCAGACAGGAAAACTAAAAAGTCCCACATAACCAAATATTGCTAAAAAAGCTACAGCTCTGGATGAAGAAATAGAGCCTTTAGAATGACTCTGCACATTTTATATCAAAAAATTTACGAGAGATAAGTTGCATTTCAATGAACTGACAAAACAACAAGTAGGGATATAACGATGTATGAGTTCAATCTACCTCGAAGAATCAAGAAGCACTATATCACCAGATTTATAGCTTTCTTCTGATATTAATCCCAGATCATAGAGAAGAACTCGACCAGCATTACAATCCTTTCCTGACCTGAAGCCACACGCAAATTACTTGTATATCAGATACTGATTTCATCACAAACAAGATCCAAAGAATTTTGTCTAAGGAATTATAAATGAAAATGATTTACTTTGCTGGTTCAATCAGCTTGGATATTTCTTGTGAAAATGGTTCACGAAGCCAAACATTGCGGTCGTCTGAAGAACGGAGACAACTTTCTCCCTGAGACATTCGTTTTCGGATATCAGTCAATTCCGCAATGATACGATCACTATCTGGAGTCGATTGAAGTGGTGGAATTACAGAATCTCTGAAACAAATTGAAGTCAATGAGAACAATAGCTACATAATTACAAATAGGAGCAAAGCGCTTGTTCAACAAATCAGCTTTGATCAAAAAATCGTGTTTAGGTATGAACATACAATTTACAAAGCGGCTTCTCAAGTTCCGACGGTATCTGGAAAAATTTTACAGATTTCTTCTGATCTATGGGGTTACTAACACCATTCTGCACGCAATCATTTTTCCGATCCTCATTGACTGTATTTTTTCCCACATAATCTGCTTCCGGAAGTCGTGCTTGCAGTTGCACAAGTAAAGAATATGCAGTATGATAAGGAGTTCGCAATACAAGAAACAGTGATGGTTGATGTGGAACAAACAGATATCCTATGAATTAAACATTTCTAGCATTAAACATTTATGAACGACATTCAAAAAAATATCACGCAACAGTAAACAAAAAGTGATGATAAAGGATTCTATTTTATCTTCCATCACTTTAGATCAAACGTAAAGACGATAGTCATGATAATTGAATTTCAAAAAAAAATGTACCACCACAAATATTAGAGAAGTTAGTAGCTTCATGAATTGAGAGAAGAGTCTGCTGCCGAATTAGGAAATACCTAAACTTGTTCATATTCATAGCATGATTATCGAATTTATACAACAGTTTTTTCTCATCGACAAAATTATCACATACGCCATAATCCTGTAATTGCAAAACAATTCAAGATAAAGATTAAATAATAGAGATATTGCATGAATATAATACTGAACTCGTCAGACACAACTAATGCTCACCAAAAATTAGATCCAAATACTGCTCTATTCCACGATATCTAATACTCTAAGAAACGCCCATTATTAATTTCAGTGTTCATAACATACAAGATTTGAAAATTTAAAAGAATTGATCAATAAAAGTGATAAGGAGTATCAAGCAAAAGTTCACCAAAGTTGAAAATATCATGTATAACAAGTTTTCCGCAGCATCATCCACCCGTTTACTGGCAGCTTTTCGTTCCGCTGGAGGCTGAAAAATGTAAATTTCAAAATTTTTGAAAATAACATCAAATAGAAAAATGAAAAATGATTTTGAAATAAAAACTTGCAAAAAATTTGAAAATAATGTAGAAGATCACGATTTAGAACCAACAAGGTTTTTTCCACCCGTTAAACCGAATTCGATGGTCTCAGCAACAATTGTCAAACAAGAATCTGTTTCTAACAGAAATGGCGCGGCACAGAGACAAACTGATAATGAACAATATGCTGCCACAACCTTAAAAAAATATTTCAGACGAAATCGCTGGATACTTGGGCGATGATAATATGCGTATTGATTTTTGGACGTGAAAAAATCTTACTGATGAATGTAAATCTTTAGAATGTAAAGGCGGAGGCTTCATAAGTTGCATGTCGATAAAACGACAAAGTGACTTAACTATAAGAAGGCCTATCGACAGGTCATCTGAAACTACGTCATAATCAGCTTGTGTTATCCACTCAACTAAGAGGGTTTGCAAATTGCATTTTAACAGTAATTAGACAATTACAAACAAGAGAAAAAATTGCTGAATTTAAAATTAGTAGTTTTAGTTTTCAAATATCATACTTGATTAATTTAATGTTAGTGCAGACATTATTAATTAACTAAGCTTTCTTCATTCGACAAATGAAAAAGTAGAAGAAAAAAAATTTCAAATTTGGAAAGCAAACAAACTTTCAGGAAACAAAACTGAATGATGTATAGTGGAAAGAGTATTTAAACAGTCCAGTGCAGCCAAACATACTGATAATTCTGATGACCACTGTGGTTTACACAAGTTATCACATACTGCAGTCACTATGGAACGAATTATTGGTGCACAGCGTTCTGTAACATTACTGTTTTATTCAACAATTAGACACAAATCAGAAAGCAAAAAATGTCAACAGTAACGCAACCAGATAATTTTACAATTAATACTTCATAACTTTGATGAGTACAGAAAAAAAAACACTTCTGGAAAGTAATACGTTTTAACAGTTGTTAAATGATGTAAAATGAGGTAAAATGGGTTTTTGCGATTTATATTTTTCACATAAACTTATGCGATCCTATAAATATAAGATATTTTCATATAAAACAAAAAATGCTAAGTACTAAAAAATCTACTCATTGCATACCTTAAGATCAAGTACGTGCAACAAAGAAATAAGCATGCTTCTCAGTCAAATAAAACAAAAACTTACCCACGTCTGAATTTTCTAATCTCTTCGGTTTACTCTTTTCTTTCTTATTATTTTGTTCCAAGATCATATTGAAGTCATATAGGCAACTTTCTTCACAAAGTATTGTACAAAGTGCTAAAAAAATCCACTCATTTTTTGCCTCAAATTTTAGATAAACACGCAACTCAAATTTTCAACTCAAGTGTAAATTCAATAATTGTAATCATCATCATTGTAATACATATCAACAAAAGCCCAGAATACTGAAATGTTTAGTGAGTAATCTTCCTCTTAATCGCTACCCTGATTGAGAAATCTGTCTCATGGAAAGACTACTTCATTATGTGTTCTAACCACTCATAATTCGTCAATAAAATACACCTCATGACTTTAATTAACGATGTGCCTCATCTAATTATCTGGATGTTACAACAAACCAATACAGAAAAGCCAAAAAAAATACAGAAAAGATTAAACTACATTAAGAACATTTATAAATCTAACCTAAAATCAGGAATAGATTCATGGAATCATCTTCATTGCAGAGAGCGAAAATAAGAATTCGATGCAGTAATGGCCGAACTTCAATGTAAGTCGAGCAGTTTTCACTTGTACCATTGTGCGGGTTTGAAGGATCTGAAACTAAAAATGCAGCTTAATATAAATATTGCAGCTAGTATAATTATTAAAAAACTACTTTGCAAATTTATAGTCAAAGAAGACTCCATATAAAATAATTTGAAAAAATACCGCCTTTAAAAATCTCTCACAGCCAATAAATAATTTGTTTGCTGTAAATAAAAATAAACGAAAAACCAATCGTAGCAATCGACTAAAACTGATGTTTTAATTTAACAGATAATAATATTCAGACAAAAATTAAGTGACTGTAGATATTTTCTAGATTTCGCACTTCGCAATTTTAAGCCTTGCCTCCAATAAACATATCCCCAAAGGTAGTGGGCCAACTAATGAGAGTGGACAGAGCATGAAGACAAGCCCGACGCATCTGAACTTCATCAATTGATGGGTGGAGCCTGAAAAACAATGTTTTCGCCACTTATTATTCTGTAAATTAATAAAATTGAAATTCTTCAACAATTATAAGACCGACTGATTTAAAATATTATTTGTGAATACAGTAATATATGCGTTAAAACGTCTTCCAGTTACCAATGATACCATAACTCTAGATATAAAATTGAACTATGCAATATGTCTTAATTTTTACCTTGATTTTACGGATTCTGTATAAATAGTTTCCACTGTTCTAACAAACTGTGGCAAAAGTATTTCAACACTTTTCAGAGCTAACCGAAAAATATCACCACCAAAATAAATGAGTGCACATAGCATTAAACGATCTTTCTGCAATAAATTCCAATTCAACTCGAAATGCATTGCTCGCAGTTATTATGCAGTGATAATTTCATAAATCACTTTTACTTAACAAGTTACGCTGTTCTTGAGACAAAAATTCCAAAAAGTTAAGATTAAAAATTAATTTCTACAATTTCAAACCTGGAAATGGTACATGCATTACATCAATATAGAAAGAGTAAATTATGATTTCTCATCTCTCTTTATACGACTATTCTCACTAATATAAATTATAGAGTAATTAAACATAATTTCTTAAGTAACTTACTTCTAATAACGCTTCATAAACAACTTTGTAAAACTGCGCCAACTGGGAGTCAGTGATAACTTCTTTGCTTGTTTTGGAACATATAATACGACACAGAGCGCCCAAAGCAGCAGCTTTACCGGCGGACACACCATCAACTTCACTCCATTCAAATGAGCATGATAATCTTGAATTTCCATCACCAGAAGATGCCATTGAATGCGCTAAAATAAAGCATAAAAATAGAGACTGCATTATTTTCAGCTAATCAGTCAGTAAAATCCTCGTTCAAACGCACAAGCTGAAACACATTCATGACATCTTGCTCACTCGTCTCATGCATTCAACAGCACAACATTCACTTTTAATATATTTAAAAATCTCTATCACTGTTAATTACTAAACTATACTTTTTTCCCACGATTATTTGGTCAATATTGTTATGAGAAATAAAGCCAATTAAGTTCAATGCAGCCAATTAAGATCAAAAATCGTGAATAAACTGACACAAACATGAAAATAGCAAGCCTTGAAATTAATTGAATCTGAAAATATTATATTCTTAAGTCACATACCAAATGAATGTCTGGTAACAGCCGACTCACTTACTGATACATTTTCACCAGTGCCTCCTCCTCCACTATTATCGGTGAAACTTGTAGAAGCCATTCCTTGTTCCAGATATGACGATGGTATCTCTTCTGTACCCACTGAACTCGCTGAACGTTGACTGATTACATCTGTCACTACTGAAATTTGAATAAGTTTATAAGCAACGGTAAATACGGAAATCCATCTTTTCATAAACCCAAAAATTCTAAGACCGGCAGAACTGAAAAAACAATCACATCTTCAGAAGTGAAAAAACTCTACGCTTTTGCTAGAATTATATGAATAGCAACATATGAATTATCTTTCAGAAAACTTAGAACCACAAAATTATTCATAATAAATTGGCCTCATGAAAAAATGAAAACCAAAAACCAATAACACACACTGCAAAACCAACCAATCATAATAGTGAAAATATGAACTGAAAATCAAAAAAATGAAGAGTAACTGAGATAAAATTACATGTTACTGCGTCCCATGTAACAAAGATATCATCGAATAGTGCCAGTTTTGCAATCGGATAAAAAATCACAGAAAAAGAGGAAAGTAAAGTGATCACAAATAATAACTATTATCATTATAAAATCGAAGACTAATATACTAATCAAAATTATCTACAGATGGGTGCATTATGTAAATCTACATCAGAACTAGTCAATTTCATACTGGCACTATCATAACTTCTGATGATAATGTGCTTCAAAACAAGTGAATCTGCACATCCTATCACAATCACAGTAGTAAAATAAACAGATTAATAATTTAACGGATGACAATCAAATGAGAAACTTTTGTACGAGAACCGAATAACATACATACAATGAGTAATTAAGAATCATTCTGTGCAAACATAAAAGAAGATATGGAGCGAGTATTTGTAATTATCAGTATATTTGTTAGTGTGACAAAGGTGTTGTAACAAATATTAAATTTTACTGCTTAGCGCAAAATAATAATTTAGCGCTTAAAAATCAAGTTCCTCAATATATATCTCAAAGAGAGAAAAAACGAGAAAATGGCAGCAAAGTAACGAAAACTGCTTGTCTACTCATGCTTGACAGTCGCCCAAATTCAATCAACAAATCACTTCCTTAAAACACTGAATGCTTAAAAACCATCCAATTTCAATTCCATTCAGAATTTGATGTGTATATTCAATTTTCACGCAAATATATTTTAAGAGCCAAAAAATTTAATTATTTAATCTATAGTAATAAGAGGTATGAATTTACCTGAAAAATGGAAAAAATATTATAAAAGTAACGAGATGATAAAGATTTTAACCAAAATAAAAAACTAATTTCAGTAATGTTTCGAAGCTTAATTCGGACTGTTATTCAGCGAACCAAATATGGCAGAAAAATTTGAATGTAAAAATATTCTCCGATGAAAGAATGATTAAATTTGTGTAAATTTTAACTTATTAAAAAAAATTGACTGCACTCAGTTAGTTATAAACTTGATCATTTCTGTACT